TTTAGGTACGCTGTGTCTTTCTAAGGGGTTTCAATTCTTGTTTATTATAAATCTGACCTTTTTGGGTTTTGATTTTGTTTCCTAAGTCTTCTTGCACAATTTCTTTTCTAAAACGTGGTGCCTTCTTATCTCTTATATGCATCTTTAAATATACCGGTTGATCTTCTTTTATGGGTAAGAATTCTGAACGTTTTATATTTTGGTTTTGAATTTATTGTTCTTTCTGGTTGATTTTCCGATACTAATTCATATAGAGCCTTAATTTTATCGTAACTTTCGGTGGTGTACTGGTGGTAGTAATTTTCGTCCAATACTTCTAACATGTCATTTGTTTCTATGTGTCCCAAAAGTAATTCAGTTGGTTTGCATTTGGTTTGTGAGTGAATGCTTCTGTTATAAATAATAAATGCGTTTTCGAATAAATTATTTTTGAGTACTGTGTTTTTAGAGGCGGTTATAGTTTTCATTATTTCTACTAATGTACCGTGTGCACGTTCAATTGTACCATTACTATTTGGATGTTTCGGGGTTATGAAATGATAATTGACTTTATGCATTCGTAGCATTTCAACAAATAAGGGGTTATTGAATTAATTGTCCGCAATTATCAATTTTGGCATTTTGTATCGAGCAAAAATTTTAGTATAGGCTTCAACTATATCTGGTAAATTATTTGAACTTAATTGACAAAATATGAGATATTTTGTAAAGGAATCTATTGCCGTCAGATATTTCTTTCCGTTAATCGAAAAAATATCTATAAATACTGTGTCAAAAGGAAGTCTTGGAGAGGNATAAACAACGGAAATGATTCGAAAGAAATTCGGGCTTTAATTGATAGTGGTTCGCAAAAATCATATATTTTGAAGGCAACTGCGTCACAGTTGAAACTTGTACCGATACGACATGAAAAAATGATTCATTCGTTGTTTGGAGGAAATAATACCGCTGAACTAGAACACAAATGTTATAATATCAAACTGGAGACGGAGGATACACAATATTGTTTAGAAGTTCTAGACCAAGAAAGAATTTGTAATGATGTCACGCCCATACCCACGGGTCCTTGGATTGCTGAATTGACCGATGTAAGCATCAAAATAAATGACGTCGGTAATTCCGCTCCCATCGAACTTCTAATTGGAGCGGATGTCTTGGGAAAGATATATACGGGGCGAAAGCATACTTTGGGTTGTGGTCTGGTTGCTATGGAAACAGTCTTTGGGTGGACACTGATGGGGAAGATTCCACAAAAACAACGAAGCAATACAAGCTCTATGATTGTTATATCCCTGTTTTCACAAGACATGTCTTTAACAAACTTATGGGAAATCGACGTATTAGGTATTTCGGAACCGTCGGTTAAAAAATCTCGTGATGAAGCGGCACGAGCAGCGAAAGATTTCTTTCTAGAAACTGTTGGGAAGGATCGGGAAGGTCGATACGAGGTTCGCCTACCATGGTTGGAGGGGCATCCACCTTTACCTAATAATTACTCCTTGGCGAAGAAAAGATTAAACTCGACGGTGCAAAAACTAAAAAGAGATGGAATATTCGAGTCCCTGACTGAAGTCTTCGAAGAGTGGGTTGCGGAAGGCATAATAGAAGAGGTTCCCATTTCTGAAGTCGAGTGTGCTTCCCATTATTTACCCCACAGACCTGTTATCAAAGAGGGAAGTACAACGAGGATCAGACCTGTGTTCGACGCCTCTGCAAGAGAAAAAGGCAATCCCTCATTAAATCATTGTTTGGAAAAGGGGCCTAACCTTATTGAATTAATCCCGTCCATTTTGGTGAGATTTAGAGAACATAAAATAGGAGTAGTTTCTGATATTCGGAAGGCATTTTTACAAATAAGCATTCACGAAAAAGACAGAAACTTTTTACGCTTTTTATGGGTAAATTCAGAAGGAAAAGAAGTGGTATTTCGTCATCGAAGAGTGGTCTTCGGGGTCAACAGCAGTCCTTTCCTCCTAGGTGCGACAATAGACCATCACCTGTCTGAAGGTTTGAAACAATACTCGGAAGAAAACTCTGTATGTTCCGTGTCGACACTTAAAAAGTTATAAAAAAGTTTTTTATGTTGACAATTGTGTCACGAGCGTTCCTAGTGATACAGATTTAACAACATTTATTCACGAATCCACAGTCTTCCTTAGTCAAGCCAAATTCGAATTGAGAGGGTGAGAGTTCACTCGAAAGGATAGTTGTGACGAGCCATGTGAATCAATCCCAGTGCTTGGACTAGTATGGGACCCGAAAAGCGACTCGCTTTCTATTCGAAAAGAAAACGTCCAAGATGTTTCAGATATAATACCTGTTACAAAAAGAAAGATTTTGTCTTTAGCACAGCAAATTTTTGATCCGATTGGATTTACATGCCCGGTCGCGTTGTGTCCCAAATTATTGCTTCAAAGGACCTGGGAGCAAAAAGCAGGATGGGATGTGCCAGTTGATAAAGAATTGGAAGAAGCTTTTTTTAAAATGGGTCTCGGATCTGCCCTATCTGTACGAAATAAAGATAAACCGATGGACAAATATTTTACCTAATAACAATGGTGACTGCAGTGTTCATACAGTTTGTGACGCAAGCAAGGACGCCTATGCTGCTGTGGTATTTTTGAGGATTGTTCGAGACGAAAACGTTTTCATTCATCTGTTAGCAGCCAAAACGAGGGTAGCACCTTTAAAAAGGCTAACCATACCGCGACTGGAATTGTTGGCTGCAACAATAGGTGCGAGATTATATACCTCAGTTAGAGAAAACTTAAACTGTGAAGTTCGATCTTTTTTCTGGAGTGATTCATCGACGGTGATCTCTTGGATTAGAAGAACGGAAGAATGGACAGTTTTTGTGGGAAACCGGGTAAAAGAGATTCGACAACTAACAACAAGGGAGTCTTGGAATTTGATACCGGGCGTTCTGAATCCCGCTGATCTTCCGTCCAGAGGTTGCACCGCACAACAGTTATTAGAATCTAAATGGTGGGAGGGTCCAAAATGGTTGCTTGAAAAAGAGGACCAGTGGCCCAAGACAGATTTTTTGTGCGATGAAGACGAGATATTGCCAGAAAAAAGAAAGACAATAATTGCAACGACAGTAAATATCTCTTCGGATGAGTGGCATTTGGGTTACTTCAGTAAATACAACAAAAGTGTTCAAATGATAGCGTGGTGCTTTCGTTTCATTCATAATATTAGAAAACCGACTGATAAAAGAATAAGTAGTGTTTTGAGTACGGAAGAATTGGAGTCTGCCGAAACGTTCGTTTTCAAAATTATCCAAAGGGGAGCTCTTTCAGAAGATCCCAAACGACTCAGCACGTTACCGAATTTTTATGATGAATCTGGTGTTTTACGGTTAAAGTCGCGAGTTTGTGAACGCGAAGACATCAAAAACTTTCGCTATCCAGTTATTCTGCCGGCTGAACATCCAGTTGTGAAACGATTAATCTTCGATTTTCATGTCAAATCTTGTCATGCTGGAGCTCAAGGACTGACTAGTCTTCTACGCGAAAAATACTGGATACTTGGTGGAAGACGAGCAATTCGGTTTGCAGGAGGTATGACGCGAAACCGTTGTATGTGGAAATGCCGCCCTTGCCACTGGACCGAGTTCGAGATGCTAGAGTGTTTGAAGTGACGGGAGTAGATTTTGCGGGCCCACTGTTTCTGAAAACAAACGAAAAGAGTTGGGTTTGTGTGTTTACGTGCGCGGTTTATCGGGCTGTGCATTTTGAACTGGTGACGTCCTTATCGACTGGGAACTTTCTTCAAGCTTTTCGTCGGTTTGTTGCGCGATGTGGTCGACCGAGGACAATCTATAGTGACAATGGAACTAATTTCGTGGGTGCGGAAAATTTTTTCGCCAGATTAGATTGGGAAAGCATTTCTGAGTTTTCGTCTGCACAGCGAATAATTTGGAGATTCAACCCTCTAACTGCAGCCTGGTGGGGAGGGTATTGGGAACCAGTTATCGGTATGCTAAAGAAAATCTTGCGCAAAGTACTGGGTCGCGCTTCTCTTACATATGAAGAGTTAATGACCGTACTGTGTGATTGCGAAGACGTTGTGAATTCTCGACCTATAACCTATGTATCCGATGACCCACGGGATACGACACCACTTACACCAGCTTGCTTTTTGAGGGATCTAGAAGAGAGTGGTTTGCCCGATTGTGATTCTGTGGACCGCAATTCTCTTTGTCGTAGGATGGTTCATAGGCAAAATTTACGACAATCATTACGGTTCCGGTTTCGAAACGGGTATCTGGGCCAACTGAAGTTTTACCGCCAAAAGGGATTAAAGAAACCTATTTCCGTGGGAGAGATCGTCTTCATTGGGAGCGATAATCAGAAGAGGATTGACTGGCCTCTGGGACGGGTGGAAGAACTGTTACCGGGCAAGGACGGTGAGGTTCGACTTATTCGACTGAAAACTCACAAGGGGCAAATGCTCCGGCCTATTCAAAGAGTGTTCCCTCTGGAAGTCAACAATCTAGATGTCGGACCGGAGAAACATGAAGAGAGAAGAAAGAGTGATTATTCGGGAGTGCCTAAAAGCAGAGTACCCGTTACAAAGAAATGTGTTAGTTCGGGAGTGCCTAAAAGCAAAGTGCCTGTTTCAGAAACCGACGCTAGTGCGGGAGTGTTGCAAAGCAAAGCACCCGTTTTTGAAGTAGTGACACGCCATGGCCGGAAGGTAAAGGTAGCAGACAGACTGACCTATAAGAGAATAGTCATTATTTTTTAAATCTTGTTTCTATTAATGTGAGGAATATTCCTACACATATATCGGAATATCCCTCAGGTGGGAGGATGTTGCGGAGATGCCAAATTGTTTTCATTCTTTTAGATATTTTTATGTTTCATGTGTTCGACTACTGTATTATGAATCATATCGTTATACTTATATCAGCAGTTGATTGACTCAGACCTTTACCTTTACTAATAATATTTTTGTTAATTGTGAAATAAATTTGTCTTGTTATTGAAGTGCTGCATTTTCACTACATCCGAACTGATGTACGAGATTGGACGGGTAGTTTTTTCGAGTACACAACATTAATTGGCGACCGTGACAGGACGTGTAGTGATAACAGATACGCAAAAATAGTTATTTTTGCTCTACGAATAAACTTTTACCGCGACAATCATACGTGTGAACTGATTAAAGCAGGTGGTTTCGAACCAAGTTTTGAAGTATGGAGCAATTACGAAAACGGCGTACTGCACTTCGTATGACATTCACAAAGACAGCGGATGAGCTGGACAAATTATTAACCTCACGGACACAGGATAATTCTCCTTTAACTGTATGCTGGGAAATATTGGAACAAAAATATAATGCCTTACGAATCGTCGATGAGGAAATTTTTAATTGTCTACTGCAAGAAAATGCTACGGAGGAAGTTTTAATGACAGACATGGAATCTTCGGATGAGTATTCGAGAAGATTTTTCACATTAAAAGTTCAAGTCGGTGATCCTCAGAGGCAGGAGGGACAATTACCGGAAGGTCGCGATTTCGTAAGTGGCGATACGGACACAGCAAGGCGAAAGTTTAAGTTGCCCACAATAGAACTGAAAAAATACGGTGGTGATATTCGCGAGTGGTTGCAGTTCTGGGGACAATTCGAAAAAGTTCATTTGGACCCTGAAATTGATAATAATGACAAAATCGGGTATCTCATTCAGGCAACTGTTCCGGAAAGTCGTGCTAGGCGATTAGTCGAAAGTTTTCCCCCAGTAAGCGGAAACTATCAAAAAATGATAGACAGTTTAAAGTCGAGATTCGGGCGGGAAGATCTCCAAATCGAAGTTTATGTGCGTGAGCTGCTGAAGTTGATTATAAGTAATGCAGCAACTAAAGAAAAAATGGAACTCTCCGCGTTATACGATCGAATCGAAACCCAAATGCGTGCTCTAGAAACGTTGGGTATTACAAGTGATAAGTGTTCGGCTATGCTTTTCCCACTTATTGAATCATGTCTACCGGAGGAACTTCTTAGGGTGTGGCAAAGATCTTCGGGGTTTTTGAGTGTCGGTAAAACGGAGATGGAAGGTTCTCAAGAAGTAATGGCAAAAAATCGTTTAGATCAACTTATGTGCTTCCTTAAAAATGAAGTGGAAAATGAGCAGAGAATCGTGTTCGCAATGGAAGGGTTTGATCTGGGTGCTAACTCACGTGAAAATGTGACACGGAAGACCAAACAAAAATCGGCTGATTTAAACACAGTGCCTACCGCGATCGGATTGGTGAATAATGAACTACGAAATAAGTGCGCATTTTGTGAAGGAAAACATGACAGTGAAAAATGTTTTAAGGCTCAAAAACTGTCGCTGGATCAAAAAAGGGACTCCTTAGCCAAAATTGGGGCATGTTTTCGTTGTCTAAAAATCGGACACCAATCGCGAAAATGTCGGCAACGTTTAAAGTGTGTTTTATGTGGAAAGCCACACCTAGCCTTGATGTGTTCTGAGTTATCGAAACCAAAACAAGATCCTGGTGAAACAGCTGATAAATATAATACTGTCGGGAACAAGGTAAGCGTTGCTGGTACCGGGTCCGTAGACCAAACAATGACGAACTACTCTAATGCTCACATCGTTTTGCAAACTATNATTACTTAAATCAAAATAAACAACAATCAGGTTTTAATTTTATCTTTATTAAACCGGGATAAAAGAAATAACTTACTTTATAATATATTGTAATGTAACTTTTAAGACTCACAACGACAAAAACTATTTACTTACACTAATTATTATTAAAGGACTTAAAAACACTATTGAATTATTACTAACATAGGTGATGAATTACTCTATTTATATACAGTACTGTTAATATATCACTATTTACTGCGCTGTCAATTTATTTCTAGATTAACTTCTGAAACGGTCAATTTATTTCTATCCTTCTCTCGGCGATCGTCTTTTCTTTTAAATACTCTTTTGCTTGCTTTCGGGAACCTCCTCGAGCCATCCGGAAAAGTTTCCTTCTCTTGCACTGTTTACCTGCTTTCTCAGAACGCAGGTACGACACACACGTTTACAAATACGGCGCACATGAAGAAAGGCGACAGCGTCTAGTCGGCGAATCGATAAACCGCTCACACACACGTATGCCCGATTGCACACAAACACGCTCGTGCTCGTTACAATAGCCTTTTTTATGGTGTATACATTTAATAACCTATTTACGCTATATATACAACTATGCTTCGCAATCGCCAGCTTCTGTAGGTTATTCTCCAGAAGATGTCCGCGGAATACCATTATTGCGTCCCAAAGGTCTTTATAAGCTGGTTTATCAGAGCATCTTCCTTTAGTTACTAGGTAATAGATTTTGCGTCGTCCGTCAGGCAGGCATAACAGACTTCTTCCCTTCTGTACATGATTTTCAAGATGTTCCAAACCGCCAAATCTGCGTATTAGCTCGGACGCGATACCACGGCTCATTCTGAGATCCTTTGAAACGCAATGGCCCAGAGAATGTTTCTTAGATATAGCAAAGAGGTCTCGTCGGATTTCTTGCGTCACTCTGTTAACATAGGGGCCTTCCTTCATGAACTCTTCGAATGTGAACTCGGAAGGAATAGCTCTTAATAATCTGGCCCGCGCCTCCTCTTCATTTGCACCGGCGAATGGAGCCAAGCGACTAAAATGGACTACCGTCGGCTTCCCATTTGGAGTTTCCTTAATTCAGTAGATCACGTCGTTAATCCTCTTCAATAGGGTCCTTCTCAATTCTGTTGGAACTTAGGTGATAGTCCACAGCAACGACGAGGATTATACAACAGAACAAGATCTCCAGTTTGGTAACCACCTGCTGTAGCCTTGATACTCCTTTTTTTTTAATCCTGTCACTAGCAATTTGCGCATGCAACTTATGGAGATTTAACGTGCAACACCTTACCATCTGATGATAAATCAACACGTCAAACCACCACAGCTGAGCCGTGATGGAATGAAAAGGGCTCCCCGGGGTCTCCCCTCCGTCAGACAGATTGGTCCCGGGAAGTCACCGATGTAGTTCGGGCTGGTGCATCAGCCGTCGCCGGTGGGTCTATCCATGCCCCGCTTAGTACGTAAATGTTTGAGGTCACGGTATTGGCGTCTACCGATGACCTCGTGGTCCAGCACTCGGACCGTCAACCACTGCCCCCACGAGTCCATTCCTCAACATAGTCCCAAAACGCGCACCCTTTACTCGGTACTCTTATGCGCGTCCCGGGCTTGGTGGGCCTAATCCCATGGCACCAGGGCACACTGGTTTGCCATCCCAGCAGAGGGGCGATGCTGCACTCGCTTTACCTCGCTAGTCCTCTCCGGGTTCGTGGGGGCGATACTCTCCAAAGCAGTGATGGGTGTATGCTTGACGCAGCCAGCGCGCCAGTACACACGGTCCCATACTACCCCCGTGCTTATCACAGTTCTTTACTACTCTTAGTACTTTATACTCGCTACGGGGCTGCCGCTGCTTGCAGCCGCCGCCTTCTCTCAAAAAGCCTCCAGGCGAACTCTCTCAGGGCTTCATGGCTCTCTCTTGTTGCCAGGACTTGGCCCACATTCGGCTCTCCCGCGAGCTCCCAAAATACGCCGAGATGTAAAAGGTCTCGGATATCGTCGTAGAGCGGGCACCTGACCAGCAAGTGTTCCCAACTCTCGACGGGGTCTCCACATAAACACGCCTCACTTTCTGCCAATCCTCTCTGGTACAAGAACCCGTTCATGCTGCCATGTCCGGTGATCAAGTACCCCGCTGCCATGCTAGGATCAATCCATCCGCTCGACCTAACAGTACGAACGTCTGGAATGAAGCGGTGTGTGACTCGGCCGTTTACCGACAGGTCCCACCCGTCTTGCCACTTTCGCAACATCCTTCTCTCTAATACTTTGCGCACCCCTGTTGCCGACAGGCCGGCGATTTCATCATTGCTGACTACGTCCCCGGGTTCCATCGGTATTGCATGCCTCGCCTTGAAAGTGAGCGCCCGCCTCTCTGCCTCCAGTACCCACGGGATTTCTCCCATGAGTACCTGCATCGCCTCGGTCGAGACGGTTCGACACACCTTCAGACACGCCAGGAGTGCTACCCTCTCACATCGCCTTATTAGGTTCCTTCCCACCCCCGTACGGAGCGTCTGGTACCAAACGCTTGACCCGTACAGGGCACATGCTGTTAGGAGGCCTTTAAACACACAGCGGACTGCCCGCTTGCCCAGCCCCCACTCCGTGCGCAGGACTCTCCGCAGGGGCCCAACTACTGTCACTATCTTGCCCCTTAATGCCTCGAGGTGTGGCCGAAAAGCCAACCTCTCTCCTACGCACACACCGAGGTATTTCACGGTGCGCACATACTCCACTGTGAAGTTGCCGCTTCTCACCACTGGCGGCCGGGTATCAGCCAGCCTTCCCTTAAGCAGCATACAACACGTCTTCTGGGTCGATACGGAAACGCCAACCGTCTCTCCCCACCTCACAGCTACACCCAGAGCAGTGCTACCTCGGTGTTCGAGCTCTCTCCTGCTGCTGCCCTCGACTAAGACCAATAGATCGTCGGCAAAGGCAACAACACTCGTCCCCTCTGTCTCGTACTCTCTCAATAGGACATCCATCATCAGATTCCAGCATTCCGGACCGATGACGGAGCCTTGGGGACATCCTCTTTTGACCTGCCTACTAACCTGGGTTCGTGGTCCGTAGGCTCTCACTTCTCTATCGTGGAAGTAGCTTCGCCATAAGGCTAACTCTTCACACCCCACTCGTTGGAGCCTCGCGACAATACGGCTCCAGTGCAAGTTGTCAAACGCGCTTGCGAAGTCGATGAACAGACCTAGTACGTAACGTTTTTCGGACCTGCTCACCGTCCGCTTCACTTCATACCAGGCACTCTCGGTGCTCTGGCCAGGCTTGAAACCGAACTGCTTTTCACTTTGCTGGTTTCCCAGTTTAGCTCGCAGTCGGAAGACCATCAGTCTCTCCAGGACCTTCCCCAAGACCGGTAACAGACACACAGGCCTACTCTGATCTCTCCTAGCGCTACGCTCTTGTTTTTCCCGCGGCAGATCTTGTAGACCTGTCCCCACGGGTCGCGGTTGCCCTCTACTTTGACGAAATCCCGCCAACTCCTTTCCTTTTTGGTTCTCACTGCTTTGGCTTAGGAGCGGATGCCCTCTCTGTAGGCCCTTTGCAGGACCTCCACGTCCGGATCTCCTCTCCTTCGTGCTCTCTGGACTCGTTTCCTCCAACGCCTCAGGGCATTACTTTGGTTTCGGAGGTCGTTTGTCCACCAGGGAGGTATTGCCCTCGTAGGCTGCCTGGCTCTTCTCAATACCTGGTCATTCGCGTCCACCACCCATCCTTGCAGCCGAGCAACCATCTCGCCGAGGGGTAGCTTCTCGAAGTCAGCCATAGGACTGACCCTTTGAAGCACCGCCTCCTCCCAGTCGGCCCAACAGGCTTCCCTGATGGACCACGCTGGAAGAGCGGACGGCTCTCCGGTGGTAATGTTGGCTGCACACTCAGTGATCTCAATCAGGATGGGATTGTGATCGCTAGAGGACCAGGTTGGTTCTATTCTCCATACGACATTTCCGCGCAGCCCCCTTGCGAGGGTGACGTCAATGTCGCTCTCACCTACGGCCGTCTCGTATGTGGACGTTTCCGAACGTACGTTTAGAACCTCTAACTCATTGGCCAGGATCACCTGTTCCAGGCTCTCCCCTCTCGCAACTTTTGCACTTCGACCCGTCATGCCTTTGCTGTGCCACATATGCGACTCAGCGTTAGCGTCAAGGCCGATCAGCAGCGCTCTCCGCCTGCTTCTCTCCACGACCCGCTCGATACTCCGTATGCTGTCCTCAATATCGCCAGCGAACTGACAATATTGGGAACAGACATACAACTCACCGAACGGTCCGCTTAGATAGGCCAGCGCCTCACACCTGGTCAGGTCTTGGCTTAGGTCAACTACGTCGACCTCGGAGCTGTCTATTACCACAACCGCTTTGGGATCTTCTCCACCCTGCTTTCCCACAATCACCATTCCCGAGGGCAGTCCTCGGACGCCGCCGTCCACGGCATATGGCTCTTGTAGCAAGGCAACACCAATCCCGTTCTCACGCATTAGCACACCGACTTCGCACATGACCACATAGGATCTCCTACAGTTCAGCTGGAGAACTCTTATGGTCGTGTTCACCATCACGCGTATCGACTTGCTCTATCCTGCACTGCCATTTTGAATACAGGGCAGGATCTCGCCTTGGTCAGGTGACCGTGTGGCAATTTCCGTGCCCGACAGTTCACACAGCTAATTGGCCTGTCGCAGGCCGTTCGCTGGTGTCCCTCCTCTCCACAGCGGAAGCAAAGCGCGGAGACTGTGCTTCTGCAGGATGCTGTTTTGTGCCCGAACCCTAGGCACTTGAAACAGCGCAGTACATCATCGGTGTCCTCGACCCTACACGACTGCATGCCGAGGTACACCCTTCTCTCTCTTAGTACGGACTCTTTAACTTGAGGGGTTACCTCAAGCGTCACCCAGCACTCTTTAGTCGTGCATGCACCACTTTCACCTTTGCGTACTGCAGGAGCCTTTCTCCTACCTCGTATCGTCACCCGAGAGGCGAACTCCTCGGGTGAAACCACTCCCTCCAGGTTTTTGGCCTGGAGATCCCTAAGGATCTCCTCGTCTGTTAGGGCCGATGGGACATCCTTGATCAGGATCTTCGGCCCTATCTTTTGCGGGGTGGCGGCCGTGAGTCCCTGCTTTTGGAGCTCTTCGCTCTTTAGCAGTTCCTCTGCCTCTTCGGGGGTCTTCGTCTCAATGACGACCCCCTCCTTCACTCTTCGCAATGCACATACCCGGACACGTCCGAGTGCGCCACCCACTGCCAATACTTTGGCCTTAACCTCGTCCGCAGAGAGCTTCTTGTCGTGTGACCTCACGATCACCGCGACACCCTTCTGCTTGGAGGCAGCCTTGTTACCAGGCTTGGCCGTCTTTATAGTGCCCTTTTGTACAGGGCGGCTAGGTTTGGGAGCTTTAGCGGTGGTCGGTTTACCCGACGTTTGCTTCCCCCCTCGCACCTTGTCCGCAAACGACACCCCTGGTTGTACCACCTGGGTAGCCGCGACCGGACGCGCCGCCATCACGATCTCCTTCTCAACGAGGGCTTCTAACAAGATACCCTCGCACTCGGCNTAATTACGTTTATGATGATGATGTTAAGGTCCATTGAACATCTACCTTGTTGGCTTCGGGTCATGTTCACTGAACCTTAACAACTATCAGTATAAATTAGGATTAGTTCTCATTTAGGTTTAGTTTACTTCAGTCCCTGAAGAAGGTAACTTTGTTAGCGAAAAGTGCTTCGGACAACTACAGTGTCGTGTTTTGGCGTTGGGGTTTTGAGCAATTCTGTTTGTTTTATAAGTATTTATAAAAATATTCTACACCTTTGACTACAGCCAGCATCTCTCGCTTAGTGACACAGTAGTTTCCTTCGGCTTTTGATGAGGTCTTGCTAAAATAGCCGATTACCTTCTCTTTGCCATCTTGTAACTGCGACAGAGCGGCTCCCATTCCCACATTGCTGGCGTCGATGTCCAAAATGAACATTCCATTGGGTCGAGGATATACTAGTACGTGGGCTGTGATTAAAGCCTGCTTCAAAGTGTCACATTCCGTTTGACAATCCGAATTCCAATGAAATTTGCGGTCACTTTTGGTTAAACGTGTCAAAGCTTTGGCGATATTGGCAAATCCACAAACATAGCGACGATAACAAGTGCACAATCCCAAGAAGCTTCTTATGTCGTGGACATTTCCAGGCACTGGCTATTCCTTTACGGCTGTTATCTTCTCTGGATCCACTGCCACGCCCTTCGCTAATACAACATGTCCCAAGTAAGAAACCTCTTCGCGGAAAAGGTGGCACTTTTTCGGACTGAGTTTCAAATTGGCCTCACGTAACCGCTGGAATACCGCTTGCAAATTCTGCAGGTGTCCATTAAAGGTGCTTCCAATCACTATGATGTCATCCAAGTATACCAAGCAGGTCTTTCCAATTTTATCACTCAAGATTTTCTCCATTAACCTTTCGAACGTCGCCGGGGCATTGCATAACCCGAAAGGTATAACTGTAACCTACCATAGGCCCGTGTCTATCGAGAATGCGGTCTTTTCCTTGTCGGCTGCATCTAAAGCATTTTGTCAGTATCCGCTCTTCAAATCGAGTGTGGAAAACATTTTCTAGCCAGAAAGAATATCCAAGGTGTCATGAATCCGTGGTAGTGGATAGCTGTCTTTCTTAGTTACGTTGTTGAACTGTCGGTAATCCAGACAAAAACGGGTTGTTCCATCCTTCTTCTTTACCAGTACTACCGGTGATGTCCATGGACTTAAGGATGGCTCAATTATGCCGGTCTCCTGCATTTCGTGGATTAGTCGCTCTGCTTCTTCCTTTTTGGCCAGGAACAATCGTCTAGGTCTTTGACGAACAGGCTGCGCATTACCGGTATTGATCTTGTGTTTTACTATATTGGTCCTTCCCTTATCATTCTTGTCAGTTTCAAAGACGTCGGCAATCTGACAAAGTAGATGTTGCACTTTGCACTTCTGCTCACTGGTTAGATTCCTACAATATCTGTCCGTCACTCCACTTATTTCAACAGGTACTGTTTCAGAATTTACTTGCCGTTAACGTCGATTACTTGGGGAAGGAGTACTATTCCTATACTGCCTCCTCGTATGACCAAGTTTAGTGATGTACCAGAGGTTGAAATGACACAGATTGAATTATGTAATGAACTATCAGCACTTCTTGCTCTAAAATATGACCGCAAATTAATAATCTGTTTGTAATGTAGATTTTTAATATCAATTATTCCTCTTCCACCTAATTGTCTTTTGATTGTAAACCTTTCAACAGCAGAGTGTATGTGGTGCATGTTGTATTTGTTGCACTTAGTTCTAGTTAGCCTATTAAGTGAGTCTAAATCAGTATCAGACCAACGAATTATCCCGAAGGAGTAAGTGAGTACCGGTATGGCATATGTGTTAATAGCTTTAACTTTGTTTCTACCTGATAGAAGTGTTTTAAGTATTTTGTTTAACCTAGTTGTGTATTTGTTAGTTAATTCTGATTTAATTTTAGTATGATCTATATTTCGACTTTGATTATAGCCCAAGTACCTATAAGTTTCATGTTTATCAAGACTTTGTATTGTATCCATTTTTTGTTCTAAATTGTATGGTGGTTGCGTTTGGTGTTTTCCTTTTACAATACTGTTTATTTTACATTTATCAAGTCCAAATTTCATTCTTATATCGGTACTAAATGTTTCTGTAATTTTCAATAAATTGTTTAACTGTTGTCTGGAGGCGCCAAATAGTTTTATGTCGTCCATATATACTAAATGACTTAATATTGTTGAACTATTCCTATCAATTACATAGCCGTATTTACTTTTGTGAAGATTGTTTGACAATGGATTCAAAGCTAAGCAGAACCATAGAGGACTCAATGAATCACCTTGGAAGATACCACGTGATATAGTTATCTGTGGACTGTTGAGGTATTCAGTTTCTGTTTTAAGGTTTAGTGTTGTGCTCCATTTTTGCATTATGTGTTGTAGAAAATTAATTATTTTATCATTAATTTTATATATTTTAAGTACATGAAGTAACCAAGAGTGTGGAACACTATCATAGGCTTTTTGATAGTCAATATAGGCATAATATAAATTTCTATTTCGCCGTCTACATTGTGTGTGTACTTCTGAGTCTATCACTAACTGTTCTTTAGAACCTCTACCTCCTTTGTAGCACCCCTTCTGTTCCTCGGCCATTATTTTATTTTGAAATACATGTGTATATATCTTTTTTGTGATTATAGATGTAAGCAGTTTATATATTGTTGGTAAGCAGGTGATTGGCCGGTATTTAGCCGGGTTTGTGGTTTCATTATCTTTGGGTTTAAGATAAGTTATGCCACGTGCCAAAAAAAGTGGGGTCATTTGTGGATCCCTCATGTATGAGTTGAAAATATTAGTAAGATGTATGTGTGTAACTGTAAAAGTTTTAATCCAAAAATTGTGTAATTTATCACATCCTGGTGTTTTCCAATTGTGAGTTTTTCGGATTGCTTCTTTGACATCATCTAGCGTAATCTCTATTTCAGGCATTGGAATTACACTTCTTACTCGCTCTTCTTCCTCGCAAATCCAATTTGCGTTCTTGTTATGCTCTGCAGGTTTTGACCATATATTTGACCAAAATTCAGTAATAGCTTCAATTTTTGGGGCATCTTTGATTACAACCTGTTGACATTCAAGAGATCTGTAAAAAAGTTTTTCATTTGTATTAAATATCCTGTTATCAGTTTTCCTTTGATTAGATTTTCGATATCGTCTTAGTCTCTTAGCTTTTGCCTGTAACTTTTGTTTCATTGTGTCTATTTCTTCTTTAACTTCATCAGTACTTTTGTTGATTGGGTTTAATTGTCTACGTTTCTTTTCACTTAAGTTTCCCAANGTCTTAAATCGGCAGTTGATTGACTCAGACCTTTACTTTTACTAATAATATTTTTGTTAATTGTGAAATAAATTTGTCTTGTTGTTGAAGTGCTGCATTTTCACTACGTCCGAACTGATGTACAAGATTGGACGGGTAGTTTTTTCGAGTACACAACACTAGTACTAATAATTCTATTTCAATATTCAATTTTGAAACACCAGTCATAATAATTATATTATTGTTACCAATGCCGTGCTTAAAACAATAGTTACATTACTTACGATTGGATTTGAAGAGAAAGCATTCAGGCGTCAAGGAAACGAATTTTGAATGCAGTATGCAATTATAAGACTCCAAGAATACAATCAGTATGCATTGAGGTGCAAAAATTTTCCAACACTTTCTGAACAGTTTAGCCAGTTTCCATTCCAGGTGAAAGGAGAAAACACAAATAATAATTATCCCATGACTATGATTGCGCACGGTGGACTCCTAATTCTACCACCAAAAAGAACAGTTTAATTTATAATCCCAGGGTAGGTTTTAAACCTATCTGCAGAATATATAACAAGTCGGTAATACAAAGGAAAAATATACCACGCAGAACATTTGTATTTTGACCACCTCATCATCATAAGGTCGTCGGTTTTAAAACTGGTTGGACATGCATCTCCACTCTAAACTATCCTGAACTAATCTCCACATTTCTTTAAAACTAGAATGTTCCACATAACAGGTCAATTGAAAAGTCCCGGCCTAAAATAGTAAAACACATTTTTTTGCAAAATTCGTTTTTTTTATTCAACATAATTCCCTTCAAGGGTGATACACTGATTACAGCGATCCTCCAACTTTTCGATACCATTTTTGTAGTACGATTTGTCCTTTGCTTCAAAATAGGCCTCAGTTTCGGCGATCACCTCTTCATTCGACGAAAATTTTTTCCCAACGAGCATTCTTTTGAGATCTGAGAACAGGAAGTAGTCGCTGGGGGCCAGATCTGGAGAATACGGTGGATGCGGAAGCAATTCGAAGCCCAATTCATGAATTTTTGCCATCGTTTTCACTGACTTGTGAGACGGTGCATTGTCTTGGTGAAGCAGGACTTTCTTTTTCTGCAAATGCGGTCGTTTCTCGGCGATTTCGTCCTTCAAACGGTCCAATAACGCTATGTAATAGTCGCTGTTGATGGTCCTTCCTTTTTCAAGGTAGTCAATGAAAATTATTCCACGCGCATCCCAAAATACAGACGCCATAACCTTGCCAGCCGACTGTTGCGTTTTTGCACGCTTTGGAGCGGGTTCATCGTGTGCAGTCCACTCCGATGACTGTCGATTGGACTTCGGAGTGAAATGATGGAGCCATGTTTCATCCATTGTCACATATCGACGCAAAAACTCGGGTTTATTACGCGTGATCATCTTCAAACACTGCTCTGAATCATCAACTCGTCGTTGTTTTTGGTCAAAAGTGAGCTCGCGCGGCACCCACTTTGCACAGAGCTTTCTCATACCCAAATATTCGTGAATGATGTGATGTATACGTTCCGTTGATATCTGTAGAGTGTCTGCTATTTCATTCAATTTCAATTTACGGTCATTCAAAATCATTTTGTGGATTTTTTTAATGTTTTCGTCCGTAACAGCCTCTTTTGGGCGTCCACTGCGTTCACCGTCTT